ACGATTTCAATTAATCATCCCAGTTATTGCGAGTGTTCTAATGGATATCGTATTACGGAGTCTTTTATGAGGCTTTAATTTCCTCCGCGATAACGAATACGGATATTGTTTGACGTGTATGACGCATATCAGACGTATGTATATTTCTCTGAAAGAGTGTGACGCTAAAGGACCTTCGCTGCGTACTGAACTTTCGTTTAAAGGCTCGCACATATTTTCTTGCGGAATGACACGTGGCCCAAAGTGCATTTCTTCGGATTATCAATGAAATTTTACGTGAACAATGCGGGACGAAAGCGATCGTATGGAGAACAATTAATCGTCGGGGGGGAAAAATCGACCGTTCGCGACAGACGTCTCAAATGTGTCGAACATTCGGCCGAAATAAAAACATTCGATGAAAAGATGAAAAAGTACACAGAATGCACTCATTCTTCCCTTTTTTCCCTCTGCTTCGGCCCATCGACTTTACTTTATACCAACAGCGGACAGGTTGTGTTTATTATGAAAACAGGACACGATCACGCGTGTGTAGATAAGACCACATACGCACCGCGAGTTGATCATCCTGATGACGCAGGGTCGATGATTTCGATAATGTTCTTCTGCAATCACGCGTCGGCGCCGCCGGGGCTCCGTTAATTTTACATTCCACCCAAATGCTGAGGATAATATAGTTATATAACAGCGTCGAACAACACGCACAGTTAACGCCGATTAAATAAACTCGCTGACTTTTTAACGATCGCTGTCCGCGCGGGAGAAATTCGTTTAAAATTATCTCGGAAAGACACGCGGCATTGCTTTAAGAGAAATCCGGTGGCAGCGATCAAGTCCGCTGCTGCGCGTCTCATGAGCCGATTCGTCATTGCGCCCATCCGGCCGGACAACGTCGCACGCAGCTGATGCTATCAAAACTCACGACCCGCCGAATCGCCCCGCGAAGCTCTGAAAATATTCGCCGCCTCTCCCGAAGACATTCTGCCAGTGTTTTCTCATCGAAGAGACTCGTGGCCACTTGCCGGTCTGTCACTTCGCTCGTCAACCCCTTGCAACGACCGTGCACTTGACTCGTCGTACCCCCCCTCCCCCCTCCGTCGCTTCCCGCTACCGCCACTACCCCCCGAAAACGTTCGCCTAACTGCGAAGGTAACGCGAAGTAACGTTCCGGCCCCTCGTAGCCTATTCCGGGTTGCCGGCTCGCGCACGAACAATATTTGCAGAGCTCTTATTCTCAACCCCCGTGAGCGGCGGCGCTTCGACCCCCCGCTCGCCCGAACCACCCGTTTCTCTTTCCACCCCTCGTGTGCACCAGCAACCACCTACCTACCTACCTAATAATGATTTTACGTTACGCCACGCCGTTCCCCGGGGAATCCGACGGTGCCGCACCCTTATTGCACATGGCCCGTGCTCGGTACATGGGGTACGTAGGCGGTCGAAGGGGGGGGAAGTGGAAAGAGAAAGAGGGCTGATTATCATTAGCAGCGTAGTCCCAGAACACCCTCGTTGCTGCCTGACGCACGTACGCACGCAGCCGGCGCGCCGCTCGAGGTCGTGGGAGCAGCGAGATTTGTTCGTGCGTACGATAAAAAAAAGAGAGAGAGAGAGAGAAACGCGCAGAGATCGCATCGAAGCGAAAACAGTACGTCGAATCAATCCAGTGAGCGTGTGTACAAGCTTATACTGTTGCAGAGCGCGCGCCTTATCAAAGAAACGACGAAACAGATTTCGGATTAGATTTGTATTTCAATTCCTAATAAATTTTATGACGAAGCGATCCCCTTCGAAAAATTAAACGCTTCAAAAACAGTACCGGCGAATGTGACCGTAGATACAATGAAGAGTAATTATTGTCCATTGTCTTCGGTAACACACGCCTCGTGTAAATTCGGTAGGAATCCCGAATCAAAATTTTGGCCCTACGCTGGACCTTTAATTCTATTATGTATAGCAGGGCCTGAAACAGTAAAATAGGTCGAACGTCCAGTACAAAATTTACTTCTACTTCGAGACTGATAGTGTCGGAAATTTCTACTTTTGCTAATGTAGCATTAAAGTAAGTAGGAGCTAAAGTAAATTGTTAGAATTAAAGACTCGAGGGAGAAGTAAAAAAAATATAATGCCGTCAAAGTAGGTTATTGCTGGTCTACGTAGGTGTATAGATGAGCTAAGTAGGTGTACATCAGCCTCGAAAGTGTCGAAACGGTACAAAAATTTCGACTCGGGATTGGTCCTGAACTTTCAAATCACGTGGCGCGTATCGGAGGTATCTTTATTGAATAGAAAAGGTTAAAAAAAAACACGAGGCAACTCTCATCCCTTACCGCCGAAGAAAGAGCCATCCCCGGAGGGCGAAAGATTCCTACGGAAAAAGGACTCGGACTTATCCTCGTTTCACGGCGCAATTGCCGCGACCGTGAACGTCATTGGTCGGCGCTCTCACGGCGCCTCTGAATTTTTTATTCTCCCCTGAATAATGAATTAAATGTTTCATGGCGACCCTCCGCATGGGACGCAGCGGCGCGTATAGGTGGACACAATCGCGCGCAGCACCGGGGGATCCCGCAGGTTGTTGCAAAAGTCTCCGGAAGTGACCACCGTTTTGTATCCTCTGCTATGCCGAGTCCTTCGGCCGTTTCGGTGGACGGGGGTGGGGGGAGGGAGGGGGCGTAGAAGGGGCGGAGGGCATTGGAATGACGGCAGGATGGAGAGTGGTGTGGGGGAGGACAAGGTGATAATTTGATAAGACATCGGGAGGGGTTGCCATGGAGACGATACAAAACCCAGAGCCTCGACTAAGGCCGGAGCCCTCCAGCAGGCGGTCTTCTCTCCTTCGTTGCTCTCTCTGTCTCTCTCTCTCTCTCTCTCCCTCTCTCTTTCCACCCCCGAGAAACCTACTCCTTCAAGACTCCGTTCCATCAACCGGGAGACACCGAAGTGTCAAGTGTCCTGCCGCCACCACCGCTCTGCGACTCCCTCAATTTTTTTGCTCCAGCCTCCCCGGTCGCACGTAGGACTTCGGCGCGTCCGACATTGATGCGTATGTCGAAGATAAACGCGCATTACAAGGGCACCAAAGAAAAGACAAAGGCTGGCTACGGGGATTTACGATCACTGTTAATCGGAAGCTGCTCGGCGGATATAAATGACATTTTCGCAAGATCATCTCACTCTTTTGCTTCCCCCAATGCTGTTCTAAATGTGAAAAGTCCAATTTTCAAACGATGGCAAATAGAAATTATTATTAGAGGAAAGTCCCCTGTCATGAGATAGGCGGAGTTTCTGCTAAATTAATTGGTACAATCTGTTGGTTCCACCATGAATTTATTGCCCTTGGAGTGAAATCTGTTTAGTGGGAAATTGATTGTTGGATCGTGTAATCGTTGCGAAAAAACGATTTGTCATTGCATTTGGACGTTGAAAACCTGCTGTCTTATACTAGAATCCTGTATAGAGGACTTTCCTTTATTAAAAATAATATTAGACATTTTAGTAGTCGTACGATTCTCGCTACTTAAAATTTTCAATCGAGCAAATACTTTTGTCATCCGAAAAACAATCAGTGGTCGAAATATTCTACTTGGTAAAATAAGATTATCCGCGTGTGTGTCTTGCACAGACTCCACGTTGCGTCATGGCAAGGTTCCATTCCAAGATTAGGGAGGCCACGATACCACCCCAAATCGTGGGAGCAAGGAACGTGAACGTTAAATACAGAAGAGACGGGGGGGAGACCCCCGAAAGAGACATTACGATTATTACCGAGCGAAACTCGCAATGTGGGACTCGGCATCCCTGAAATGCATTGGCCACATGTGCTATATTCAACTGGATCCTCTCGCAAGGACTTGGTCCAGACAGTTGGCTGCATTATTTATCGCACAAACTTGCCGGACTAATTGATCCCTTACGTCCCCTCGATAACGATACCCACCGGAATCACGAGCGCGATTTTCGTGCTGCGTCCGCGAAAGTTAGCGAGCTGTCCAAAGACGGGATAATTGCGCTCCAAGTGAATTCAATTCGGCTAATTTTACCATTTCCATCCGATTAGATAAAAAGAGAATGTAAGAATATCGACGGACATAGAAATACAGTTTATGACCGTACGTGGAACTCTGGTAAATAAAATTATTTAACCTCAGTTTGCGTTGAGATCGTCTGCGAAATTTAAGTCGTCAGGAGAACGCGGTACTTCTATATAATACATTTCGGTAGTAATTAATAATTTATATAATAGGCATTAATGCACTAATTTCGAAGTGATATATTTTCTACAGCCACGAGATAAACGTGGTTAGTTATTAAAAGAAATCGTTAAGGTCCGGTTTCGCCAGCGTCGCTTAACTTTAAGCTTAAGAGGATGCTAAAGTCATCTGTTTTACCGACACATTCGAATATAGTTTTTGCGCTGCTGAATCTTTTTATTAGTTTTTACGACTAAAATAATACCAGGATAAGTTGCGGACCGCATAGCAGAG